CACCGTCTGGTGCAAGGCTTGCCTGACCTGACCTGGGTCCCTGGGGCTCACCGTGGGGGCATCTTGGGGCCGTACTGGGGCCATCTTGAGGCATGATTGGAGCATGCCGGGCGATCGGGGCGGCACACTGCGGTATTGCCAATCCTGGGGCCGTCTCGGGCTATATCAGGAACTCTTGGGGCAGGCGGTCTCAAAGCGATCTTGGGACATCCTAGGATCAGAACAAACCCGAGCAGCATTCAACATTGTGAGGGGGCCCCAACGTCGTCCGTAAGGGCTTCGCCCTCTGCCGCCAGCCACCCCTCTCTCAGGAGGGGCCATATGCCGGCGCCATATTACGATGCCCATCTGCCGGTGTGAAGCAGCATCGGAACCTCATGCGAGGACGACTGGAAGTTGTACCGTCATGTTCCAGGGACTGTCGTCTCGGGGGCGCGAGCCTGGCGTAATTCAAAAGAGATTGTCGTCTTGGGGGCGCGGATCTGGCGTAATGTACCACAGGTTCTTGCTTGGTGAGCGCGCGCCGTGCGTAATCTACCCAGGATTCTGGTTTCGGGGGAGCCAATCACGTGTAATGTGCTAGGGATGCTGGCCAAGGGAGTGGGAATCGAACGTAATTTAGAAAGGAGTCTGGCCTCGGAAGCTCGAATCTGATGTGATTTCTCAGGGGCTCAGTCCTCGGGGACGCGAATTTTAAATAATTTAAGGGGGGTCCTAGCCTCGGGAACACGCATTCGCGCAGTGTGCAAAGAATTCTGGCCACGGTTGGCGCGAATCCTGCGTCACTTTCCCCAAACAATGCTTGCACTTGGGTGTCCTTGCTTCTCTTCTGGGGAACGGAGCCTGTCTGTCGGTTCGGCGGCCATGTTGCTGCCGTCGCCGACTCGTCGTTGCCCGTCGTCTGGGCCTGTCTGTCGGTCGCCGCGCTTGTTGCCGCCGTCGCCGCCCCGACGCAGCCTCGTCGCCGCCCGTCGTCTGGCCTTGTCTGTTGGTTGCCGCGCTTTTTGCCGGCGTCGCCGACCCGTCGTTGCCCGTCGTCTGGGCCTGTCTGTCGGTCGCCGCGCTTTGTTGCCGCTGTCGCCGTTCTGTCGCCTCTTCGTCGCTGCCCGTCGTCAGGGCCTGTGTGTCGGTCGCCGCGCTTGTTGCCGCCGTCGCCGTCCCGTGGCCGCCCCACATACATAGCACAGCATAGATTGCACGTAGTAGCTTGCACCACATGCATGACGCCACATACATTACCAGACCATGTATTGCGCACCGAAAAGATCGAACAACATATATTGCACCACGCGGGTTGCACAACACATGTTGCAACACATAGATCGCACCACGTAAGTTGCACAACCCACACACATATACATATGCACATACATATATATATATATATTATATATATATATATATATATATATATATATATATATATATATATATATATATATATATATATCTATATATATATATATATATATATATATGTATATAATATATATATATATATATATATATATATATATATATACATATCATACATCATATACACATCTAACACACACTACTCTGTACATCATATAGTCTCCTTTCCACAAAGATGGTTCGGATCCACCACCACCACCCCCCCGGTTTTATCGATACACTTTTTTGTGTTGCAATTTACATATGATTCTGCTCCATTGTCCATCCCAGATATGAATTCATACCATCCCCGCCCAGCCGGGTTCGACCCCCTTTCCGCCATCCTCTGCAAAACGTTTGTATGCGCGCAAATTCTTTTATCACAAAGGATCAGTTTCCAACGACCCTTTACAACAAATGAAACGAAGTGCACGCGCGCGCATGCCGAACTCCTTCAATACCCCTCGGCTTTGACAGGATTTCAAAATCGAGTGTCCAACACACATATAAAAACACATGGTTTCGCGACACGGCTTAAAAAAAAACATTTAGAGAAAAAAACCTGCGCGCGCTCTCTTTTTTGCGAATCCTGAAGAAACCATTGGTTTTTCCAACCTTTTTTCAGGAATTGCTACCAAACAGGTTTCGCGCGCGCGCATGTCGAAATCGTTCGAACGCCCTTGCGCGCGTGCCGTCGCGAGAATATGGTGCAACAAGTGAAACGAGGTGCACACGCGCGCGCCGTCCCGCGCGCATGCCGAATTCTTCAAAAATCTTAGGTTCCGTAGCGAATCCAAAATCGAATGTCCGAACCACATTCTAAAACATCTGGTTTCGCAACATCAGTTTTCAAAGGAAAGTTTGCGCGCGCGCTCTTGCGAATTCTTAAGAAAACCGTAGGCGCCGCATGCCGACATCATTCGCACGCCCTTGCGCGCGATCTGGGGGGGAGTCACGATCCGTGCCGAATAAAACCATGCGGTCCACCCGCGCGTCGGCCGCGCGCGCATGCCGAACTCCCTTCCCGCCCTTCATTACCGACGCGAGGACGTCGTCATCGTCGTCGGCGTGATCCATCGGCGCCCGCACTGGCCGCGCCTTCGTCGGTGCGAACATCGTCACCATCATTGCTACTATTATCATCGTTTCTACCGTTGTCGGCGGTGCCATGATATCGCGCCCGCTCAGGTCGCCGACTCGCAGTGAAGTGTCCGCTGGGATGCGCCCAGCTGTCAGGACCACCGCGGTCGCGCCGGCTGCGCCGAATTAGCTGGCCGCTGCGCGCGCGTGCTAGGGTTGGCGCGGCCGCTGAGATGCACCAGCCAACGCCAAGCATGCATCGCGATCGCCACCGCATGGGCATTGCAAGCCAAGTTGCGGGTGGGTGGGCGGGATGTTGGCAAAAGCATGGGATCGGTCAACCCGTTTGTAAACATCAATGGTACCACATACAGTGTACACGTGTATTGCGCACCACATGGGTCGCACTACATTCATTGCAGCATATTGAGTGCACCCGGCAGATTGCACTAGATGTGTGTGTGTGTGTGAACACCGCCTTATTGCACCATCTATGCCACATAACACGTACGGCACCACAATTCTTGCGCCACGTCTACAGCTTCACATACACTGCGCACATTTTGCACCCATAGATCGCAGCACCTATACGGCAGGATATCGATTGCACAACCTCGACCACACCACATAGATGGCTGCACATTGATTGCGCACAAGAGCTCACACCACGTATTTTACAACACACACACATTGCACACTACCGGTTGTACAGCATAGTGTGCACGACCTGTATCACCCCATATTGTTTGCGTCACGTGGGTCGCACCACTGTTGTCGTACCACATAGACTGCACGCCATAGATTGCGCACCGTAGATTTCACAACGTAGCGTGTACAATGCATCGTGCATCCCATATACAGCCCACTATGAGTTACACAATCCACGTTGTGCCTCACAGGTCGCCCCATGTGTATTCTCTGTTCTACAAAGAAATAGGTTCTACCACCCTCCCCCCCGGACTTATCGATACCCCGGGAACCGATGCAAAACACATGATTCTGACCCAGTGTCCACCCTACATGTGAATTCATACTATCCCAGCCAGGCCTGTATATCGGTCCCCCTTTCGGTTCCCTTGCAACAGATACTATGCGCGCGCATTCGCTTATCAAAACCATGAATTTTCAATAATCCCTTGCAATGAGGTGAGGAAGTGCACATTCGCGAGTCGTCGCGCGCGCATGTCGGAATCCTTCAAGCACCTCAACATTAGGTTCCGGAAGGATTTCAAAATCGAAAGTCCAAACATTTGTTCGAATGGTTTGGCAACGCCTGAACACAACATAAGTCTTTCATCATTTTCATAGCATGTCACCAAACGGGCTTCGCGCGCTTTGTAGAAATCGTTCTGCGCCCTTGCGCGCGTGCTGGGGTGGCACGATCCGTGTCAAATAATGTCATTCGCGCGTCTGCCGCGCGCGCATTTCGAATTCCTTCCAAAACCTTCATCACCGACGCGAAGACGCCGTCATCGTCGTCGACGTGATCAGCATCGGCGCCGTCACTGGCTGTCCCGTCGTCGCTGTCAGCATCGCCGCCGGCATCGCTACGATCATCATCGTGTCTACCGTTGTCGACGTTGCCGTAATACCGCGCCCGCCTGAGTCGCTGACTCGCCGAGCGGTCAGCGCCACCGCGTTCGCGCCGGTCGCGCCAAAGTAGCTGGCCGTTGCGCGCGCGAGCATGCGCGGGCTAACGCGGCCACAGACATGCACCAGCCAACACCCAGCACTCATCGCAACCGCTCCCGCATAGGTTTTGCAAACCAAGTTGCGGGTGGGTGGGTGGGATGATTGCGCGAGCAGTGGAGTTGACAAATTCAAGTTCGGCAAGTGAACTGCGAACCATAGGTGGCACAAGGTGGGTTGCACAACCTATGTTGCACAACATGTATTGCGCCACATCGATTGCCCCGCATAGTTTGCACGCCATAGATTTGTAGAAGCACAACGTGTTTGGCCCACGCGGACCACTATTTAGAATCTCTGATTTCAATGGGTTGAATCTAACGTATTTTCAAATGTCCTTGGACCCCCATGGAATTCTGAGAACCCCCTGGCGGGACGGTACACGGCCCGTTTTCGGTGCACACCTTTCGTGCGGACAGCAACACTTACAGCAGGGACCAGAAACATGTTGTAAGTTAGAAGTTGGAAGCTCAGTTCGAACTTGGAAGTTGGATACTAGTTATTGATTGAAAACGAGTCTATACGTTGGAAGTTGGAAGCTAAGTTGGGGATTGGGGGAGCGGTGTACAGTTATAAGTTATAAGGGCGCACTAAGCCCTGGCCGCGCAGCCTGGTGGCCCTGCCACGGTGGTCGGCGGATGGATCCCTCGGGGGCCTCCTCGGGGCCAGCGTGTAGGCATCGTGCGGTCGGATTCGACAGGGACCCCGAGGCAACCTGAGCGGACAGAAGGCCGAGGCACACGCCCCCAAGTGTTTCCGTTCGATGCCACGGCCCACCCCCGTGGTAGCATGGACACAGGCTGCGGAGACCAGCGAGATCAGCACGCCACACCGCCATGAGCACAGGGCAGCGGCTCAACAGCATGGTTCACAGCTTTGCGCTTCCGATGTGGGGGCCAGCAGATTTGTCACAGATTATGGCGAACGCGGACAAGGGCCACTGCGGAGGGAAAAAAAACAATCGGCGTTTGGGCAAGAAGTACGTTTACTCAGATTATTCCGTTCGGGCCTTTAAGTTTATCACGCTGCTCCGCGAGCCCGTGGACAGGGTCGTGTCAGAGTTCTTCTGGTGGAGGTCCAAAATGAAAATGAACGAGCGGGCGTGGGACCAGCCTCTCCACACTGCCGCTAGGGAGAGTCTTATGGCCTGGGTGTCGAGCCCACACAACAACGCACACAATCGGATGACGAAGCAGCTCGCGTTCTTCCCCTCCATGCGAGCGCCAGGCAGAGCTAACAGGCAGTGCACTTCTTACGGTGCAGCTGAGGAGAAGGAGTTCTGGTCAGCGCTGTATAACCGGTCCGTGGACGAGGCGTTGTGGGCTACGGTCAACCAGGACGACGTGCTGTTGGAGAATGCGATCCACTCGCTGTCAGACCGATTCGCCGCCATCGCGATCACCGAGCGCATGGGCGACAGCTTGACAGTTGTATGCAATGCGGTCGTCAGAGAGGGGCGCCCGTGGGACTCGATGTGCGGCTCCCCCATCATCCAGGGCGCCGTGGGGGAAAAAGCTGCGCACCTTCACAAGAACGGCCACAGGAGCGCCACCGAGGAGGAACGTCTCAGAATTCGGCAGCTGAACAGGCTCGACTTGGAGCTCTACGATTTCGCGGTGGACCGCCTGGACGAGCAGCTGGCTTTGGGAAGAGGGCGGTAGCGGCGAGTTGACGCCCTCCGTCGCCTGCAAAATCGTCGACGTCGAGCTCTGTGGCTTTGCGGTGGCCCGCCCAGACGAGCAGGTTGAGCGACGCAACGATAGGGGTCGTCTGCGCCAGCATGTAGCCTTGGTCTTTCATGTAGCGTGCCTCGCTGGCGGCCTGCGTACGCCGCCGCTCCAGGTCGCTGTGTCTTCTCCCGTTAGACCCCTGTTTGATCGTCGCTCAGGTCGCTCTCGGTAGAGTCGAGGCCTCCTAGATGGGGTCGGAGTAGATGGGGTTGGAGGATCGCTCCGCATCGCAGATGCACCGGCGATGCGGCTCGATGTGGACCCCGATTTGATTCACGGCGACGTCGCCGATGCATCGCCGACGTCGACGATGCATCGCCTTGTGCATCACCGATGCATCGCCGATGTATCGTCGATGTATCGGCGATGCGGCGCGATCCTCCGACCCCATCTGGGAGGCTCCTAGAGGGCGGCCGCGGTGAGCGAGGGCTCCCCCTCGCCTGCGACTCCCCGAGCGGCGACTCCCCGGACCCCGTCGCTCCACAGGTCGGCGCCCGGCGCGCCGCCTCTCGGTGGTCAAACGCCCGCGGGCGAGCCAGATCCCGATGGGGACCGCGGGGCGCTTCTCTCCAGGCCTTCCTCCTGAGGAGGAGGCAGATGATGATGATGATGATGAGGAGGAGGAAGAGGAGGAGGAGGAGGAGGAGGAGGAGGTGGAGGAGGAGGAGGAGTTGGGGGAAGGGGAAGAGGTGGAAGGATATGATGACACTGGGCTGGCGCCCTACTCTCTTTTGAATTGGCGCCGCTTCCAGCCTCCAGCCAGAACATCGCTCCCGCACGAGGTTTTCCTTTTTTTTCTTAGGAAGGTGGTGTCCCTCGCCGCTGACAGCCCCCGTCCCGACAAAACCAAGTCTCCCGCTCGAGACGTCCTCCCTTTTTACTCAAGGCGGTGCTCCTCCTCGCCGCCGACAACCACCGTCCCAACAAAACCAGCGTTCCTTCTCGAGACTTCGTTTCGTTTTACGCTGGACTGGCGCCTTACTCTGTTCAGCATTGGCGCCGCTCCCAGCAACAACGGCGCCCCTGGTCGAGACTTCCTCCCTTTCTATTCAGGGCCAGGTCCTTGCCTCGCCGCCAGCAGCCCCCATCCCCACCAAGGCAATCCTGTCGCTCGATACTTCCTTGTGTTTTACCTTTTGCTGGGGCTCCACTGGCGGTCTCGTATCGGCCCAGCAAGGGGCGGGCATGCGTTTCGTGGCGGGATATGTTGGGGTTTCTCGGAGGAGGTGTTTGCAAGACCTCATTAGGCGGGAGATATCTGGGAATGTAAATAGTGGACCCCGCTATTGAACAATAGTACCCCATGGTGGGGGTGGTTCTCATGATGGTCGCATGTTTCGTGTGGAAACATCGCGCATAAGGGTAAACGGATTGTTGTTGTTGTTGTCGCGGAACTCTCACTCGTGAAGAACAATTATGGTTGGCCCCCCCTTTGGTAACAGTTGTGTTTTTCAATTGAAGTGCCCTTTTCGGGGTTCGCGCCTTTTTTTTATCAGGGAGAGTCTTCCTCCTGAAACTGCGTTATTGGCCCCCGAACTACAACAACAATGGCTCCCGCCTGATCTTTCCTTACAATTTATTCCAAAACCGCGCTCTCGCGCGGGACCTCCTCACAGTTTACTCAGGAATCGCGCTCTCGCGTTGGATCTCTTTGCAATTTATTCAGATGCCGCGCCCTCGGCATTCGAATCGAGCTATCGCTCGAGACTTCCTCGTGATTCATGCAAGACGCACGTTTCAGCAACCCGACTGTTCGACCTGGCCGCCTGGGCCCTCCTTCCCGACCCGCCTGGTAGGGTCTACCCGCCCGATCTGCCCGTCTGGTTCTGCCACGTGTTTTCTGCTCTTAGCCCCCCTCCTAGTGTCTCTCGTGCTCCATCCTCCTCCCTCCCCCTTGTCCCTTCCTTCCATCCATCCTCTCTTCCCCTGCCTCAGGGGCTGCACGAAATACACGTTGCAAGTAAGACAGATCTACCCCCAAGGGGGTGCGGTCGAAGACGAACAAATGTGGGTATCGAGGGTTCGGGATACACGTGTTGAGTGGCACGCTTGCAGATAAGAGCGATCAGTCTTAACATGTTTGTTGTTGTTGTAGTTGTAGTTGTAGTTGTAGTTGTTGTTGTTGTTGAAGTTGTTGTTGTTGTTGTTGGTGGTGGTGGTGGTGTTGTTGTTGTTGTTGTTGTTGTTGTTGTTGTTGTTGTTGTTGTTGTTGTTGAATTCTCACTTTTGAAAAATAATTATTGTTGATCCCCCCCACCGGTGCATACTGTTTGTTCTCAATCAAAGTGTGCCCCTCGACGCTCGCACCCTGTTTTTTGACAGGGAAAGTCTTCCTGCTCAAACTGGGCCTCTGGCCCCCGGGTTACAACAACAACGGCTCCCGCCTGAGACTTCCTTACAATTTAGCCAAGACCCCCGTTCCCGCCCGAGACTTCCTCGCATTTTATTCAGGAATCGCGCTCTCGTTTGGGACTTCCTTACAGTTGATTCAGGAATCGCTCTCTCGGCGCTCTGGAGTCGCGCTCTCGCTGGAGACTTGCTTGCAACTTACTGAAGAATGGCCTTGCGTTGGAATTTCCTGCAATTTGCCCAAGCGCCGCGTTCCCGACACCCAGGCACGCAGGAGTCGCGCCCGTTGTGGCCCCATGTGCGTGCCCTTCGTGGCCCCGCTGTCGCCCTTCGTGTCCCCCTCACTGCCCCACGTGGCCCACTTGCTACCCTCAGTGGCCCCATAGTTGCCTTCTGTGGCTCCGCATTATCTGCACTTCGTGGCCCCCGCTCGTTCGCGCTCTTCGTGGCCCCATACGCATTCCCTTCGTGTCCCCGCTGTCGCCCTTCGTGGCCTACTTCGTGCCCTTCGTGGCCCTGCTGTCCTTCTCTCTCGCTCTCGCTTTCGCTCGTCGTCGCCGTCGTCGTCGTCGTCGCCGTCGTCTTCGACGTCGTCGTCGTCGTCGTCGTCGTGGTCGGTCCCCTGTCCGTCCCTCTTGGGGTCGGGTCGACGGTCCGCGGCCGCCCCGCCGATCAGCGCTGCCGCTGGCCAGGCCGACGGTCCGCGGCCTCCCCGCCGCTTGCCGGGGCCCGGCCTGCAGGGAAGAAAGGTATACCCCCCAAAAGGGGTTCGATCGAAGACGAAGAGGGCGGGTATCGAGGGTTTGGGAAATACGCGTTATTGGACACTGGAGCGTACAAGGGCGAATGGTCTTAAGATTATTATTGTTGTCGTTGTTGAACATTATTAATTCTAAAGAATAATTATTGTTGGGGCCCCTGGTGCACGGCCCCCCTGCGCCGCCTAGGCCGCAGCTACATTTTCATCATTTTCGTGAGGAAGCCTCAGGTAATTCGATGTGATCAAGATCCGGTTGTTTTGTTCCCCCCCGCTTTCCCTTGCAAAAAACACTATAAAATGACATTTCTTGTTCTAATATAATCAAATTTCAAGAATCCTTTGCAAAAAATAAGGTAAAGTGGACATTCGCGCGCGCAAGACGAAATCCTTCCAAAAGCTTAGTGTTCGGAGCGATTTTAACATAAAAACATCAAAAAACCAATGGTTTTTCAACAAAAAAATGTCAAAATCTCATCCCGCGCGCTCTTGCGGATTCGTAGGAAACCCAACACTTTTTAAACATTTCTGTCAAACGGGCTTTTGCGAGCAACTTTTTCGAACTTCTGCGACAACGGTTGCGCACCTGCCAGGGCCATCATCCCTGTCAAATAATACCATGCGGGACACATTCGTTTTTTCTTCGCGCGCGCACGCCGTCGTCGTCGGCCGCGGGGCCCTGAATAGTAGCCACGGTCGTCCGCATGCCACGAAGTGAAGTGTCCGAACGTCATAGGGCGGGAAGCTGGGTGTGGGTGGTGGCGAAGAGTCGTTTGGAAATTTGGTAGAGCTTGAACCGGCCCCCCCACAAAGTGGGGGTATTGCCCGCCTCCTATGAAAACCCTGGCACTGGTGAGAACGGAGTGTCCCCAGTCTTATGATTGTTGTTGTTGTTGTTGTTGTTGTTGTTGTTGTTGTTGTTGTTGTTGTTGTTGTTGTTGAACATTATTAATTCTAAAGAATAATTATTGTTGGGGCCCCTGGTGCGCGCCCCCCCCGCCGCGCCTAGGCCGCAGCCACATTTTCATCATTTTCGTGAGGAAGCCTCAGGCAAAACGATGTGGTCCAGATCCGGTTGTTTTGTTGTCCCCCGTTTTCCCTTGCAAAAAATAAGCTAAAGTGGACATTTCTTGTTCTAACATAACCAAACTTCAAGAATCCCTTGCAAAACATAAGGTAAAGTGGACATTCGCGCGCGCAAGACGAAATCCTTCCAAAACCTTAGTTTCGTAGCGATTTTAACATAAAAACATCAAAAAACCAATGGTTTTTCAACAAAAAATGTCAAAATTTCATCCCGCGCGCTCTTGCGGATTCGTAGGAAACCCAACACTTTTTAAACATTTCTGTCAAACGGGCTTTTGCGAGCAACTTTTTCGAACTTCTGCAACAACGGTTGCGCACCTGCCAGGGCCATCATCCCTGTCAAATAATACCATGCGGGACACATTCGTTTTTTCTTCGCGCGCGCACGCCGTCGTCGTCGGCCGCGGGGCCCTGAATAGTAGCCACGGTCGTCCGCATGCCACGAAGTGAAGTGTCCGAACGTCATAGGGCGGGAAGCTGGGTGTGGGTGGTGGCGAAGAGTCGTTTGGAAATTTGGTAGAGCTTGAACCGGCCCCCCCACAAAGTGGGGGTATTGCCCGCCTCCTATGAAAACCCTGGCACTGGTGAGAACGGAGTGTCCCCAGTCTTAAATGATTGTTGTTGTTGTTGTGTTGTTGTGTGTGTGGTGTGAAACACCAGGTCTTGGTTGTTTGTTGTGTCTTATTTGTTCGTTGATTCCATCTGTGTCTACACCTATACATCTGCATTTTTTGGTCGCTGGACTCTTCCCCCCAGGCCCAACACTCACACTGCAAGAGGGGGTCCAGCGCGTGTTCAAGAAGTAGGACCTCTGACAGTTTATGTTGATGCAGAGTTTCTTCCTTTATCTTTCCTTCTCTGCATTGTTCTATACCCTCCCTCACCCCTACACCCCCTAGAACGTCCAACGGCTTTTCAGAATTTCTTCAGCCTTCCGATAACTCCCCTCTGCTCCTCCCTCTCCGTCTTCCATTCTCCCCTCCTATCAGAAGTCGCTGGAACACACCAAATTCAACCATTTTGAATCTAGCTCGAATTATCCTTTCTTCTTGTTCCTTATTTGCCTTGCTTGTTGGGGCCTAGTAGACGTTATACTATATTATATACTTGCCTTCTTCTTCTTATTATTTTCTTTTTCTCCTCCTCCTCTTCCTCCTCCTACTCCTCCTCTCCCCGCCTCCTCCTTTTTCTCCTCTTCCTCTTCTCCTCTTCCTCCCTCCTCCTGCCACCATCCACGAACTACGGACGACGACGACAACCGACAACGCCGAACTCTGGCGATCCTGTTCCCGGAGGCCCCCGGAAGCTCTCGAGGAGACTCGAGAACGCCCGAAGGTCTGGAGCCCCGATATCCCCGCCGAGGACGACGGCGCCGTGGGCAACGAATGATCAACCGACGGACCGATCGACCGACAGACCGCGACGAAGGCGACCGACCGACCGAGAACTGCGACGGCGACGATGGTCCGATCCGCTTTACAGCCGGCAGCGGACGACGACCGACCGACGACGACGATGGCCTCTGGAGGCCTCCACAGGTCTCTGGAGGGCTCTGGTCGGGCCTCCCTTGTCATCGCGCCAACACCGCAGAGCGGATTTCGTTCGGGAAATGATGGGATGGGCCCAGAGTGTCCTGGAGAATTTCGTTCCGGATTTCGAGGTGGATTTCGTGCGGATTTTTTGGCCAGGAATGAAAACCAAAAAGAATCCACGCGAAATTCACCCCGTCTTTCGCTCGCCGCTCCGGGCAAGAATCCACGCAGAAGTCCGCGCAGAAATCCGCTGCCGCACGTCTGCAAGGCCGATGCGATGACCACTGCACACGCACCCGCGTAGGGTGTTGCTAGAAGTGCCCCTGGCCCAAGGTGCCCCCAGGTACTCTGAAGTGGCCCCCAGGGCCTCCAGAGCACTCCTCACGAGGCCCAGAGCACTCCTCACGAGGCCCAGGGGGCCCCAGGGGCTCCAAGATCGATCGAAAAGCTGGGGGCACCTCGGGCCAGGGGCACCTCTCGCAACCTCCGACCGCGGACGACGACGAACGACCGACTGGCCGCCCACGACGACGTCGAGCGGCTGACGAAGACTGGCGGGGAGGCCCTCCCCTGGGCGGCGCCCACAAGGGGATGCCGCGAGGGGGACGACCTCGAGAAGGCGGGCAGGCTGCCAAGAAGGCGGGCGGCTTCCTAGAAGCCCTCATGGCCTGCCCTTCCAAGTCGGGCCTGTCCCTCTGCAGGAGGAGTATTCAAGAACAGTAAGAAACTAGTCAGGGGACGATGTTTCGTTTGTTTTTGTTTTTTGTTTTCTTGTTGGATATTTTTCATGCTATTTGTTGGGTATTTTTGGGGGTAATTTTTTATGTTTCGTCCAGAATCCGCCTGTAGGGAGACATGCCCGACCTAAGCCGACCCATCGGTCGTTGAAAGTAGGTATTGTTGGGTGCCCAGATTCCGGTCTATTAAGCGCCTTCCTACTTCAAGGACCGAGCAGCTGCACCTTTTCCGTCCTCCCAAGGAGGCCGACGGAACCCAATCTATTTTCGATGCCTTCCCACTTCATGCTCCTACCCTTAAGTCGGGCGTGTCCCTCTACAGGAGGACTATTCTAAGATAGTCAAACAAACAGTCCGCAGACGATCTTTCAACTGTTTTTGATTTGTTTGGATATTTTTTTTGACTATTCTTGGTTATTCGTCCAGAAGCTGCCTGTAGGAGGGCACGCCCGACCTAATCCTACCTACTTCTTCCGACCGACGGGTATAGGAAGCTTCCTCGGAAGCCGAAGAGCCCCTCGAAGGTGCTGCCTGCCTCCCGAGACGCCTCCCGCCCTCCCAGACGCTCACCCCCGTCGCGCCGTCGCCTCGTGGGCGTGGCCACTCTCTGAGATCCAACGCTGTGAAACATTGCAGCATCGCGAAACATGTGATCGTTTTCGTCTTCCTTGTTTCGCCGATCGGCGTGGGCCCCCAACCCCCCCCTCCCCCCCATGGAGTAGACCTTGGCTGTTTTGTGGCGCCTGTTTCGAGCGGGTGGAGTCTCTCCCAGAGGCAGCACTCTTGCAAACAGTCGCACTAAGCAGAGGTCTGGAGCCAGACCCACCCCCCTCCCACTCCCTTTCCGCCTAATGTCGAAACGACGAATAAAAAAAACGCTCACAATCGCGGTCGCAGCCCTAGGGCCCCATCTTTATGCTGCTCTTGTCGAGCCAGCTCGATCCATGATGCCCCTGGGCCCGAAACCCGGCGACAATGCCCGGTGTGAAAACTTTACGACGCTGGGATTTCAGGGACCGACGACGACGACCTACCGCCGACGACGACCGACCGCTGGCGACCGACCGATCGAACGACCCACTGGGCGCGGCGACCGACCACGACTACGAGCGACTGACGAGGACCGACCGACAAGCCGACGACGACGAACATCTAGGCTTCCAAGAGGAGGTCGAAGTAGATGGGGTTGGAGGATGGCGACGCATCGCCGATGCATCGTCGGTGCGTCTTGATGTGGAGCCCGATGTTCTCCACACGCCGACGTCGCCGATGCATCGCCGACGTCGCCAGTGCATCGCCGATGCATCGCCCGTGCATCGGCGAAGCGGCCCGATCCCCCGACCCTTCTGCCTGGGCCCCGACCTGGGAGGCCTCTAGAGAGCAACTGCCGACGACGGCCAGCCACCGCAGGCCGATCCCGGACCCCAGACGTCACGATTTTTCCGTAACTTGTGCTTCACTTTTTGCCATTGCCATCGTTTATGCCTTCTTCTCCTCCGTCCTCTACGTCATCATGTGACTCGGAGGGAGCTGCCGCCATGCCCCGGCGCCATGTTCTGCAGCTCGATGCCCATCATTTTGTCTGCGCGTCTTGTGGCATTGTGGTAAGGGCGTCTTGGTCGTCTGACCTATGGTGTCAGAGGTACCGTATGTGGCCCTGCTGTGCTCCAATGCTGGGCGAGCTCATCCAGCTATTCGTGTTTTCTGTGAGGTCAGGTAGCCCCTGACTATTGTCATTAATTTTGTTCCATGGCGTCGACCCCCAGAGGAGGAGGAGGAGGAGGAGGAGGAGGAGGAGGAGGAGGAGGAGGAGGAGGAGGTGGAGGA